TTTAATTGAAGTTGGTGCGATTTAAATTAGAATGCAGAAGTATATTGTGGGTCTATAATTTTGCATAATATTTCATTTTAATCATTTAATTTTATAAAATATTTTTTAATTCTCTAACTTTTAACATAACTTTCATTAAAAAAATGGCGACCTTAAACTTTTAAATGTTAATAAAATATTTTAAAATATTAATATGTTAAGTTGCATTTTTAAAAAAAAAATTATTTGACACCAAAATCACTATTATTGAAACTAAAGAAATTAGAGTTAAATGACAGAAAAGATATTTTATAGAATTAAGAAATTAAATTAAAATTTTATATAAAATAAAAAAAGTCACATGTATACTTTTACCAAATTAGAATTAATCATTAATCAATAATATCAGATATTATATACAAGTCCAAAAATATAACTTATCTAAACAGAAATTTACGCGCACACTAGTATAAATAGTTCAATAAATCTTATTTTGCAATATAGTTCACAAATTAATCACTTTAATGCTTATCATCTCTTTAAGTTTTGTTTTATGTTTAATGTGTACAGATGATCATTTGAAAATTCTACTGCTACACAAAGTATGGTAAGAGTAGAAGAGGATATGGAAAGCAATTAAAAAAAAACTCCCAAATGATAATTTCAAACATTTTATTTTTATAATAAAAAGTAAATGATAAATTTACAGTAAGTAACGATATTTATGAATTATGAATAATAAAATTATTTTTTTAATTTTATAGACTCATGTTATTTAAAAAATTTAAATAAAATTAATAATAAGATAGGGCATCTTATAAAGTTTATATTATATATATAACACATATGTTAAATTTGGTACTGCAAGCAAAATCCTAACTTCCTTTTCTACTGCTATTGCAAAATATTTATGTAGTATTAGCTAACTAAAGGTTTTTTTTGTTTTCTGTTTTTAAAAATTATTTTTTGTTTTTGAAAACAAAAAAATTAGAAATTTATTTGGATAATTTTTTTTTCATTTATTTGTTTCTAAAATTATTTTTATTTTTTAAAAAAATAGAAAAAAATTAATTTTTTTCAGTGTATTTTTTTATTTTTAAAATACACTATATTTTTTTATTAAAAATTCTAGTTATTTTGATCAATTTTTATTATTAATTACCACCATTATTTACTTATAACTCTCACTATCAATCCATTTTTTAATTATAAAATTATTTTTTAATTGACATAACTAAATGAATTTTCATTTTATTTTATTTTAAAATAATTTTAAAAACTATATTATAAAATAGTTTTTAAAAATAAAATATGATAATAGATATTAAACAGGCCGGTTTTTGTTTCACTTAATGTTTCCTAGGGCTTAAAACTCTTCAATCTTCCCTTTCCTTTAGAATTACTACAAATTGATGTATAAAGTAAACTTATTTCTTTTCTCTTTATTAATTGATCTTTTTATTAAAAAAGGTAAATCTAATTTATCCCAATTTTTTTTTACCTTGAATAATTTATAGAAAGACCAATTAAGGGAGGAACCTTCTTGGTGATAAAATTAGTTCGTTTCACTCGGATTGAAATGTAAATATTTGTAGAAAATATAGAATGAGTTTTTTATTTTTATTTTTAGTACCAAACAAGTTTGATTTCAAAGAGGCAACCTGTCGGCGACGCGTTCATGCATCTCATGTCAGGATTCTTTCTTTGTTTTTTTTTTGGCCACATGTCAGGGGTTAAGTGTGAGAATAAGAAGCGTGTCTGTGTTGAATTTTGCAGACCAAAAGACTGCCGTCTTCTATGCTGGCTCCCTAAAAATAAATTAAAAATAAAATACCCCACCCACCCCAAATTATAAAATAATTTAAAATAAAATTACATATACTTATAAAATATAATAATATACTTTATGAATTTATTTTTCAAAATGCCTCTAGACATTTAATTATTATAATATTATTATTTTAATTTTTTTACTTAAAAGATAATATTAAAATAGTATCATTAATGAAACATGAATTTTTTTAAATTGTTTTATATTTTATGATAAAAAATATTGTTTTATAATTTGGGATGGGTAATTCTTTTGAAATTATACAAAAATCAAGATATTTATTAATAATTTATTCTCTTTAAATTATTTTTTTTTAAAATTTCTCCTCAATCTTTTCTTGGCAAAACTCTCCTCAAAGTTCAACCTGGTAAAAATAAATATCTCATTCTATAAACAAAAATATCATATTAATCTCTCAATACTTTTTATTGAAAATAAATTTTACATTAAATAAAATTAAAATATTATTTATCCATAAAAAGCTCCTTTTTTTGTTTTATCTTACAACCTTTAACAACCAAAATACATTTTATCATAGTCAAAAAAAGTCTGGATTTTATAGTATCAACTATCAAGAAGTCACAGATAATTCTTGAGAACACATTTTGATTTTAAACTTTAATATTACAATTTAATTTAACAAATTGAACAGTACTTAATCTTACTAATCATTTTTTGGCCCACAAATAATCTTACTGGTGATTTATTATGTAAAAATCAATGACATATAACCAAAATGTCTATTCATTTCAATAAAATTTTAAATAAATTATATTAATTATGATTGATAAATAATAAAAAAAATGATAATAAAATCCCTTTAAATTATATAAAAGATAATTGATCTCTCAAAATGTCATAATTTCAATGAAGTTCCTATGGACCTCTTTGTCAATAATTTTTTTTTTGTAAAAAGATCATTTTATCCTTATTGATAAATTAGGATTTTCTTATTCAATTCTTGCGATTCTTTGAAAAAAAGTTGTGATTCTTTAAATAAAATTATGAATGAGATTTGTTATTTTGAGAATTTCTTTTTTAATAATAGAAATTATATTTAAAAAATTATGATTTCTTGTTTAACTCTTGTAATTTACAGAACAAAAATTATTATTACTTAAACAAAAATTATAATTGAAACTTATTTTTTAATAACAAAAATTACACTTGATAAATTATAATTTATTATTCAACTCTTGCTATTTATAGAATAAAGTTATAATTCTTTAAATAAAAGTTGTGGATGAAACTTATTATTTTTAATAAAAGTAAAATGATCTTTTTACTAAAAAAGTGATTGACCAATAGGTCACTAGGGACTTTATTGAAATTATAATATTTTAAAGTATTAAATTATCATTTGTATAATTTAGATAGATTTTATTATCATTTTTCTTAAATAATATGATTTTTAATATTTATATATATCTTACATATTTTATAGTCATGATTCAAGTTGTGAATTGACCTGATTCCTCTTATGTAAAGCCAAAAAGACATTATATAGCCACCTCCATAAGTACGTGTTTGGGTGGCCGCATTCACCAAAACAAATCCTATTTACCATTCATCCCTCCAACTAAGGCTGTGCAAAAGTCTAGTTCTTCTATCTAACCCAATTTAACTCAAATAAATCAAATTCGATTTGGTCCAATTAAAAAGTTAGTCCAAAAGACTAGAAATATTAAAAAGACCATACTACTCATGTTAGACTGAATAGGAGACAAAGCTCTCAAATCACTTGATCCAATTCAGTCCTATAAAATTATTTTAATATAATTTTAAGTATTTTTAATATATTTGAATAATTTAAAATTTAAACTTAGCGTTTCTTTCATTCACATTTTTCCCTTTTATTTAATATAATTTTAATTTATTTTGTTGCTAAATTTTTATTCTAATATATATTCGACATGTTACTAAAATTTGTTGAATGTTGTTGTTGTCATTGTTGAAATTATGAATTTAAATCATTTAAATTGTAATTAAAATATTTTTTTTGTTAGAGATTGTTATGGATTTTTTTATAATTATAAGTATTTTTATTATCTTAATTAAATTTATCAGGATGAAATGAATTATTACCTCTCATATAGGAAAAAAAGAAAAGAAAAGTTAAGTGAGTATTAGACTATCAAGACTAATCTTCTAATCCAATGGATCAAATCTAGTTCTACTAATTTTTCAGTTATAACTGGATTAGACCAGATTATGAGTTGACTAACCCAATTCTTTTTCAAAAGACTAGACTGTGGGTTAAACTAAAGTCCAATCTTATCCAATCCTTTGTACAGCCCTACTTTCAGTCTTTATCAACTGTTTTTTTCATTTAAATAATTTATGTTTCTATTAACCTTTATTTTTTAATTGAAATTTATAGTATATGATTATATTTTAAAAAAATTGTAAAATAAAATAACAAATTTAAAAGTTACTCCCTTGTCTAAAATATAAGATATTTTCTACCTATTACTATTTGTTCATAATGTGGTAAACTATGCAAAAAGTCAAGAACATTAAATTTTATTTTCCACAAATACCCTTATCAATTATATTGTAGAGACATTATATAAAAAAACTAAAGATAATTAAGATATATTGATTTTAATTGTATTGTATAATCTTGGAAAGTAATTATAACTTTTTCCATGTTAATAACATATATAAACTGCTTTTAACTTTTTTTTTTTAATTCTTGTAAAACTTGTTTAAAGCGTGTTATATTTTTTACCATAGATAATTCATAATTATATGGGTAGAGAATAGAGATGAATAGTTGAAAACTTTAACCAAAACAAAGGGAAAATATAATATTTAGTCTTTATAATTTTATTGAGTTTTATTTTTAATTTTTGTAATTTTTTTCAATATTTTTAATCTTATAATTTTAAAAAGATTGAATAACCTTTGTCTTTTAAGTTTTTATAATTTTCATATTTTCAATAGTTTTAATTTTTATAAAAATTGAAAATATTAAAAAAATTATAGGGATTAAAGGTAAAATTTAATAAAATTATAGAAGCAAAATATTATGTTTTTTTTTTCAAAAGATATGACAAACTAAATTTTTTTCTTTGGCCTGAACAACAAGTGAAATGGGAATATCAAAATTATTTAATTAAAATCATGAACAGTTAATTAAAAACGGCTATATAAACGCCTCCTTGGTCGCCCAACAAAATCCAGTTCTGAGATAGTCGTCACAGCCAAGTTTTATACTTAATCCAGTGTTTCCGTCTCTCTTAGCCTGTGAGCCCTTCTGGCCGGCGACGGACGTCATGGGTTCGACCAGCAACAGTTCCATGAACCCCAACGGCGGCGCCTCCTCCTCCGAAATCGAAGGCCGCAGGACGGTGAACTTCTCGGCGCCGAGGGGGTTTCTGACGAAACTGAAGTCGGCAGCGAAGGAGACGCTGTTACCAGACGACCCTTTCAAGCAGTTCAAGAGCGGAGCGACGAGGAGAGATAGAATCGTGAAAGGAGTACAGTACTTCGTCCCCATGTTCGAATGGCTTTCAACTTACAATCTCCGATTGTTCTGGTCCGACCTCGTCGCCGGCCTCACCATCACCAGTCTCGCCATCCCTCAAGGCATTAGCTACGCTAAGCTCGCCGAAATTCCACCCGTCATTGGCCTCTGTTAGTTCTGTTTTCTGGCTTCAATTCATATATATGCTTAATTTATCGATCTCCTTCTTGTGTTCATGAGAGCGTGTGTGTGTGTGTGTGTGTGTGTAACTGCAGATAGCAGTTTTGTGCCGCCGCTGGTGTATGCGATATTTGGAAGCTCAAGGCACATGGCGGTGGGGACGATAGCGGCGGCGTCATTGCTTCTGTACCAAACGGTTTCGAGCGTGGCGAAGCCTGAGGACGATCCTGTGCTGTATGTTCATTTGATTTTCACCACTACCTTCATCACCGGCGTATTTCAGGCTGCTTTAGGTATTCTAAGGTGAGAATCAAATTACAACTCGCTTATGAACAGTACATGTTTTTATCACACATGCACACATATATTACATGATCATCGTTTATTTCTATATAATTATCGTTTTGTTGAAAGTTTCCACCGCTGTTAAGAGACGACGAACACTGAACAGCGAATTTCGATCCCGAACCGTGTTCACTGTTTGCACAGATTCTTGTGCATCAGCCACGGAGCAGTTTCGGGCATCCATTTAGACCGTTCAGATTTATATAATCACTATGATGAGTCTGCTCTAACAACTATATATACTGTTTTATTGTGGGTTTCGAACATTGTATTGACATGTTTGGGTTGTGTGGGTGCATGTGAATTTGAGAAATTGAAATAAAAACAAGTTTAATCACATGTTAAACAGTTTTTTTAATTCTTATTGACATTATTCTATATACTTTATATGAACTAAATTTTTCATCCCTTTTCTCTTGGCGCCCATATTAATATACTATATATATATATATATATAAAACAAATCCATGAACCTTGGGTTTGCATTACCCTCTCTTAATATCTCTGTCTCTATATATAATCATATCTGTCCATTAAATTATTCATTTAGTTTAATATTGTAAGATTACTAATTATAACATTAAACTAAATATATTATTCATTTAATTACTACCATAAAGCACATTATGATCTTTGCTTTTAACAACATTTAAGTGACGATATTAAATATACGAACATTAAATGATATAGATAATTAAATTAACTGTTTGAATTATAAATATGGAGAGAATGAGGGAATTCAATTCTTATAAACCATGAATAGTTTGATTAATTTCTATGTAGACAGGACTTGTGCAAAGCATAATGAACAGGACGTTTTATATTTATGGAAGGATACAAGCAGAGAGAAAAGATACCTCCTCTTGTTTATTTATAGGGTAGAGAATTTTTTTTTTTTTTTGGGTTAAGTCATCTCATTAAATTTTTATAATAAATTTTTTCATTTACCCTCCACTAATATTGGCGAGAGAAAATACTTTATCCATATTTATATATAAGATATTTTTAATTGAATCAAATATACTAATAAAGTTTGCTATTTAGTTAAAATCCTATTAAATCACGGTAATTTTTTAATTTTACCTCTAATAATGTTGATTAATATCATGGTGGTGTGGGTAAAACATACAATTAATATCTCTTCTCTCTTTTCAAAACAAGGACAAAATTATTTAATTATTTAAAAATATTGTGACACATATTATAGTTATGGACAAAATAAGTTTTTAAAAAACACCTTATATATAGAGACAGAAAAAGTATGTTGTTAAAATATATATATTTAATAGAGATAAAATTAAAAAATTATTAAATTTTTAGATAAAATTAATGAGTTTTAAACATTTCTTGATTTTGGTAAAATATATTAAAAGTGATTTATAAATAAAACTTAAAAATTAAAGCGTTTTCTAGGCCCTATTGAAGATGTGAAACCCATAAACTTTTATATCTTTTTCTCGTCCCAAGGATCTACATCTACTCCATCTATTAAAAAATATAATATATTTTTAATTTTAATTGAATTATATCATTAATAAATTAATCTTTAAATTAATATTATCTTTTTATATTTATCTTTATTTTTTACTAAAAATAAATGGTTGAATGATTTATTTATTAAAAGTCTTTTTTGTCATTTATTAAGAGTATTTTTGAAAAAAAGTGTTAATTACACATTAAAAATTAAAAAAAGGAAGTATATATTTTAAAAGGATGGAGTATTTAGAGAAAATTCATATATCTTCATTCCACTTTATTTAGTTCAATTAAAAATTAACAATAATTTGCGATTTTACAGATTAGGGATATTGGTGGATTTCTTATCGCATTCGACCATAACAGGCTTCATGGGAGGGACAGCAGTAATACTGTGTCTTCAACAACTGAGGGGCATATTTGGAATGACACATTTCGCCAGTCGCACAAGCCTCATCTCTGTGCTCAAGGCCATCGTGGTCAACAGGAATGAGGTTCGTATGCCACATATTAATAATATTGTTACCTGCAAGTTAATACATAAAAATAATATTTTATTTTCAAAATACATGTCTTTTTAATTTATTATTTCTGTTTTTTTATTTCTTTTGAACATTTCAAAGCATCATTTATTATTATCTTTATTATACTCTTATTTTCTCTAACAACTTTAAAACAATATATTTTTAAAGCTTTAAGGGTAAATTTAATAGGGAAAATCACTGCAAAGTTAATTGCAGTAATCCTAATTATGGGTCTATGAAATACATAAACTACTCTTAAGTTTTAAATTTTTTATTTTAAATATATTTTATGTATAATTACTGATTTTTTTTTTTAAAAAAAAACCCATCCCATCCCTGACGGAAGCTCCACTGGAAACCATGGATCACCTGAGCCACAGTTCTTGGCATGTCTCTTTGTTTTTTTTGTTTTTTTTTTCCTCTCTATAATATCCACAATCTTTTTCTCTATCATTCACTTGCCCAAAAATGTTTTCGATCGAAGTCTCTAAAATTATAGGCACCATACTCTGAACTTGGGTTTACAACTAGGGTGTTGCGTGGCTCAGGCGATCCGTTGTTTCTAGCCGAGCTTCCATCGAGGATGACCCCAAAAGATTTGGGAATCAATGGATGGGTTGTTTTTTTTTTAAAATAAAATTAAATGAGAATAATTTAATAATTATATACAACATAAATTCAAAATAAAATATTTGTGATTTGGGGGTATATAATTTTTGCAAGTCGCGAGACCTTATATTAATTTGAATCCCTATAATGGACTTTTTTGTGATTTTCCTAATTTAATAATGTACTCTGTGTCTTTATGTATTAATTATATCTTAATACTATGTGTATAATAATACAAACACCCCCCCTTAAAAGACGTAGATAGAGTATTAATATTGAGGGACAGATTTAAGGGGGCAAGCAACCATGTTCAATTTTTTTTTTTTTAAGTTTTGTTTCGTTTTTATTTGTAAAAAAATGTTAAAACTAAATTTTACCCCAATATTATGTAATTTTGTATTTTAGCCCCATAGAGTTCTTTCTAGATGGGTTCTAGTTAGTACATCCTTTTCTTCTTTTATATATCAAGAGAGTTTATATTTACTTACAGTTTACTTCACGTCTTCACCTTCTACAGCATGAGCTAGCTTCATGTCATGTGTGGCATTAGTTGCAACTTTTAATTTGCTATGCTTGTCCTTTTTTATGTCAAATTATAACATTCTAGCATAGTCTCCATATAATTAATACGTAAATTTAACGTAGTGTCATAGTATATAAAAAAGTACAAACCTAAGTAAAGAAGAAAAAAGATGCAAAAATATCACATCGAGTGACAGTCAATTAAAGAAATGTACATGAAGCTGAGATGAGTGATATGAAAATGATATTTAAAAAAAAATCAACGTTTTACTTGATAATTATATGTAGCTAATTGTAATTAATTTTGTTTTTGTTAGGAATCAAATTAAGCTAATACTTTTTTTTAAATATGTATATTTTCTTGAGTTAGATAAGGTGGGAGACCACACTCATGGGCGTCATCTTCGTTGCTTTCTTGATGTTCACTAAATATGTGGTAGGTGATTTATCTTGTGTCTTTAGTATTACTGTGTATTTATATTGCTCCAAAAAATTCGTCTTTATACTTTTGTCTCAGAAAAATTAGGTGAACTTTTATAGAAATTAAAATATTTTTTGGTAAAAACTAATTCATTAATTTTTACTTACATTAATATTGGGATTTTGCAGAAGAAGAAAAATCAGAAGTTCTTTTGGGTTGCAGCTATAGCTCCAATAACAACAGTGATCGTTGGAGCTATCATCACCTACCTTGCCAAAGGCCAAAATCATGGAATTCAAATTGTTAGTTAATGAATTATTAATCAAGTTTACTTTTTCCTATTTTCTTTGATTTAATTTATTATTATCTTACATAATAAGTTATTTTAATTACTTCAGGTGGGTCACCTAGATCGAGGCTTAAATCCTCTATCTATCAGCTTACTAAACTTTGATCCTAAATATTTACCGGCAGTCCTGAAAGCTGGCATCATCACAGGCGTTTTGTCACTGGCGGTAAGAAATTAAATTAAATTAAAATATTCATGTACTTATAAGTTTCTTTCAATTTTAAATTAGGTCACTGTATTTTTTTTATCCCTTATACATGTTAATACCTAAAAGTTAAAATTATTAAACACTTGAAATTTATAAGAAAATTGATTTAATTATTTTGATAATTTTTTTGTTTTGATACAATTTTTACATTTTTACAAAAAAATTATGTGGAAAAATTATTTAGAAGACATAGGCTAATTATATAAATTTTGAGTTATAAGAAAATATGTAATTAATTCTATAAGAGCTTGATTAAAATAAAATATATTACATGAACCTAATTCTAAATTAAAAGAAACTATAAGAACTTTGTAGATTAATTTTTTAGAACATATAACATAAAAAACAAATTTTCAAACATGTTTCTTTTTTCATTTTTTTTTGTTTTTCAGAATAAAAAACTATTCAGAAAATAGGTAATTAAACATGCCTATATAGTTCCATATTTTGTTTCACGTTACCCATATAATTATATTTTATTATGTTCTTATTTGCAGGAAGGTATAGCAATAGGAAGAAGCTTCGCTGTGACCGAAAATACCCCCCATGACGGGAACAAGGAGATGGTCGCATTTGGTCTAATGAACCTTCTTGGCTCTTTCACTTCATGCTACTTAACCAGTGGTACGTAATTAATTAATTAATCAATCAAGATTGATTAATTAATTAATGAATGTGGGTAATAATGTAAATAATGAATTTTGCAGGGCCATTTTCGAAAAGTGCAGTGAATTATAACTCAGGATGCAAGACGCAGATGTCGAACGCAGTGCAAGCAGTGTTTATGGCGATGACACTAATATTTTTGGCTCCTTTGTTTGGATACACTCCTCTAGTGGCACTGTCAGCGATCATTATATCAGCCATGTTGGGACTTATTGACTATGAAGAAGCCATCCATCTCTACAAGGTCGACAAGTTTGACTTCCTCATTTGCATGTCTTGCTTCTTAGGAGTCACCTTCATTAGCATGGACGTTGGCCTCTTCTTATCTGTGAGTCCCCAAATCTCAATAATCAACTAACTTATTCATATAATTATTTCAGAACCGGATTGATGAACCAGCAGGCCGGTACCACTTATCTAACAAGAAATCGGCCTACGATTTGGTCTAGTCAACTTTTAGATCATTGGGGAAAGTGAACCACAACGAAACCAGTTAGAATCGGATTTCATTTTTTAAAAAAAAAAAAAATCACTATCGTCAAATTATGTTATTTTGTGTTTTTATTTGTCTTGTAACTAGTCAAGGACGAATCCAGAGTTCAATACGTATGGGGGATTTTCAAATCACATAAAATATGGAGGGCTAGAGTCAATTTTAACATTTGTTTTTTACAAAGGAAGCATTATACTATAAATACAAAGAAAATGGGAAAGTATGGGCGCTTGCCCCCTTTAGATTTGTCTCTACTTGCGGTTAACTTTTCTCTAGTGCTATATCCGCGAGTGTACGTATGATCATTTATCGGTGATTTTAGTTAATGATGAAAACTTGTGTTGGTTTAATTAGATAATTAGAGCGGCATATTTGATTATTTTGATTATTTGTAATAGACAATAGTTTTATTATACTATTAATGCAGTTGACTATAAATTTGACATATATGACAAATATATGGTTAAATATTGTTTAAAATATTATTATCTTTTTTATAAAAATAAGTTGAGGTGGGTTAGTTCCTGAGGGCTCACCAGGATGAGGACATATCAAAGAGCTCTCATAAAGAGGTATTTATAGATTATTCATTAACAAGATTTTCATATTGACAGCGAAAATTGATTTCACAACCTTATAAATTATTGGCCAAAACCTTATCAATTGGATCAATCTTTGTTGGTTTCATTATTTTAATTAAGGCAGATCGACCCAACCACCTGACTATAGTCTGACCTCAGTTCGGTTTTGACAAAAATTGATGGTAATTAAGTGCTGATAAATGATTTGGTATGTGAAGATTGGACTTGGAGTGCTGAGAGCACTGTTGTACGTGGCTAGGCCAGCGTCATGCAAGCTTGGAAAGATACCAGACTCATCTTTGTACAGAGACGTTGAGCAGTATCCAACTTCAACCTTATTGCCAGGTGTTCTCATCGTTCAACTTGGTTCTCCTATCTACTTCGCCAACTCTTCCTACATCAAAGAGAGGTATATATATATATATATATATATTCCTTTCTTTTTCCACTTTTTCCAACTTCATTAATTACTTGTTTCTTTGAATATATTATAGTCCCACATTGAGTGATTAAATAATTAATCACAACCATATAAATAAGTTGTGACTTTTTCCAACGTAGCTAATTTAGTGTGTGATTAATGCACAACTCTAATATGTTTATTGTAGATTTTGAATCTTAATTGAAGATCGTCTATTTTGAAAACAGACTGTTATTATGTATATTTATCTAGACTTTGACCTACCGTGTCTTCTTTTGCGATCTGAAATTTTCATGTAAATATTAAAATCGTATTTATGTATTTATAGTTCTAGACATATCTATATTAAAAAATAGATGATATACGATGATTATTAGCTTGTTTCTTATAAATTTTCTTTAAAAAAAATACTATGGAATAGGATCAGGAGGTATATCCAGAGCGAGGAGAATTCTCATATCGGGAATACTGTAGAGCAGGTCATACTCGATATATCAAGTACGTAAAGTATATATATGTTTTTGTGAATTTTCTACATATAAGGAAAATAAATTTTATCCTCTCTATATAATATGTAATTAAATATAACATTATTATTTAATTTATACATGGACAGGCGTAACCTCCATTGATGTAACTGCCATTGAAGGACTATTGGAGTTACGTAAGATCCTAGGAAAAAATGGAAAGCAGGTATGTATATCCCATGAATTCCGTGTTTTGCATCGGGTTTTTATTTTGCACGAAACTTATAGGTTCTATTAGTTGGAGGGGAGATTTTAATTATGGGAATCGACTTTGACTTTTCTTACTCTTTTAACTTACATCTTTAAAAAAAAAAAATTAAGTCCTATTTCGTTTTTATTGTCATTTAAATATATATATATATATATATATTATAATGCAGTTTTAAAATTATTTTTCAAAGTAAAATAAATAAAAAATCTGCTTGGTTGTATTAATTTAAAAATTATTTGAAAATAAAAAAAATTGATCGATAGCATAACCACCAACAATTAATGGTAGTGACTTATAATAATTATTGATTAGGGTAACTATAATTTTTAATAATCAACAATGTAATGTATTTTGATTTGGTTTTTGTTATTTTTTAGAACAAATAACAGAAAACATATCTTTAAATATTCTTTTTTTTCTTTTTTCAAAACAAAAAAGTGTTCTGAAATCAGGCAATCAGACAAGCCTTTAATTATTTATATAATAACACACATAATTTTTTGTTGTTGTTTGAATTATGCAGATTTCAATAGTGAACCCAAGGAAGGAGGTTATGGAGAAGTTGATAACATCAAAGTTTGTAGAAGTGGTTGGGAAAGAGTCCTTCTTTTTGTGTGTGGATGATGCAGTGGCGGCTAGTCAATTTCAGCTTCGTGCATCCAAGCAAATTCTTGAGAGATGATCATATATATCAAGAAATTATAGTGTGTGTTTGGTATTGTTTTGATTTTGGTCAAAATCGCGTTTTGGCCAAAGAAATATAGAAGCAGTCTTTTGATTTTGATCAAAACGTGGCTTTAACTAAAACCAACACAATACCAAGCACATTCTAACTGGCTATCTTATTATCTATAACAAAGCGTTGCTATCAAGGTTGTGATGATCTCTACTTTAATTTTAGATTTTGTGTGTGTGTGAAGATTATTGTTAAAGGGGATGAATAAAGTAAAAGGAAGGGGAAATAGATTTTGATGTTTTTTGGAAGAGATCGAGATAAATTAGCATACTATTGTCAGATCAAAAGCAATGTAAAATAATCATAGTGGATAGAGTGAACAATCATGATTGGAGTGATTTACTTGTCAATGTAAGTTGAGTTTTGACCATACCTCTGTCTCTCTATATTGTTTTTTCTAATCTCAGAAAGCATTTTCATCTAAATAAAAATATTTATTTTAAAAGTGAATATAATTAATAAGTTATCATAGGATATTGATTTCTACTAATAATTAAGTTAGAGATTTAACTACACTTCATATTTTAACAAATGGGTTAAAAATTGTTTTTCCTCTTAATTGATTTAGGAGCGTTGGATATCCTATATTAAAAGATGAGGCAATATGTAAGCCTCGAGTGTTATCCAAAAATTACATAATTCAAATAAACTAAGTGTGGTTAAGGAGTTGATCCTTTAACCAACTTAAGAAATAAATTATTTAAAACCTTAAAAAAATTATAGGTTCTACCTATAGTGCACGAAAGCAAGTTAGACAAAAGTGGAATAAAAAGATGCTGTCATGACAGCATTAAATTACTGTCATGATAGCTCTCCCGAGCCAACTTTCGGGAGGCGCCGTTCCGTTATTCGTCCTCCGATTGAAGTGATTTTAAAGCTCTCACTTAATGTAAGAGATTAATTCCATCTTGACCACTTATATTCCTCTGCATGAATATTATTAGACTCAATCATAGCCTTTATGATTACCTGATCAAAAGTGACTTTTGACTAGGTCAAAGTCCAGTGTCATCATGTAAGAATTCATGATGATCTCAAGTCAAAGGGCTTAGTGATAGGGTTACGTATGAGATAAGCTTATGACTTGTACCATGCATCTTTCCCATAGTGGGTCAATCCAGCACCTTATACTCTTTCAAGTTCCTATGACTTTAATTTGTATCTCTATAATTAATCAAAGTTATGATAGTCTTGTTTTATCTAGAACCCTTAAAGATGATTGATAAGGGACATTTAGAATAATCACTATAGTTTGTCCAAAGATACAGTTATCATAGTGAACATGCAATTGATATGATAACAAAAGAGAAATTCATTAAATAACAATGTGCATAGTACAATGATTAGCCCTAGGTCACAATTTTCAATAGTGCCAACACATCAAAATCCACTAAAATCATTCCAATGGAGTTCACAACCTGTTACTTAGAAAGGCTCAAACTCTTCAATCGTGAAAGGTGACTTGGCCAAAGGCTCCACATTCACTTTCGGATTGTGAATTCCCCCATTTTGAATATTAGGGGTGCTATGATGCCTTACTGCATACCCCTCTAGGGTGATATTAAGGACAAGTCCTACCCCACACCCCAATTAGGTGATATTAAGGGCTATTAATTAATAATTAAAAAATAGTAATGCTGAACTAGTATTGATAGAGTACCATGTGGACTTATTAAAATTAATTTTCCTAAGGTGAACTCTCACCTATATTCAAAATGATTGTGGTATTCATAATATATGCACAAAACATGACAAGCCTCAAGAGATATCCAGTTCCCAACATATCCAAAGCGAGGAGAATTCTTATATCGGGAATATTGTAGAGCAAATCATACTTGATATATCAAGCATGTATGGTATATGTTTTTAGTAATTATGTTTGGATTAAGGATAAACAATGTCCTTGAAGTATACGCAAAAGTGTGCAGATAACCTTAAACTTGACTTCAGGTCATTTCTACCCTTAAACCACTGAGAATTTAGTTTCTATCACCTTGTCCATCCATTTTAACCATTAGTCAAGTCCACATTTGAATTTTTTTAATAGTTCTTATTATAAATAATTTAACTGGGTCCCACCATTCATTTTTAAATAGTTTTTATTAGCTCGAACAAATTCAACAAAAACAACAATGCTTAAAGAATGAGAAGTTCATGCAAATTATTTGGAACAATCATTAGTCTCATTCTTTACTTATAATCCCTCTCACCATCTTGCCCTTAAAGTCTCTAGGAATCTCCTCTCCCTTTCTCTTTCTCAAATCTCTATCTCTCTCCTCCTAACAGTTTCAAACCACTAAGCAAGAACGAAGCAAGTTTCCTAGCAACCTTAGTAGTAACCTTTATTCTATTCCAGAATCCAAGAACAAAGACAACAAGTCTGGACTTCTTCTTTACTAACCCTTCCAAGTTTCCACCATGCTCGGCTATCGACATGCATGCATTCTATAGAACCTAGTAGAAATTGGCAAACTTGGATAGGTTGATATCTCTATTTTTACTAAAAAAAATAGGAGCCTGAGTGTGTGAATCTGTTAGAGTAAGGTGTGGGTCCTCCAGAGGTCATCGATGGAGGGCTCAAGTGTGTGTCCATGGATTCTTCATGCAAGTTTCGATGAGGGGGAGAGAGAGATAGCGAGGAGGGGAAAGAGAGAAAGTGGAGGAGATGGCTATCGGTTAGAAGCAAAAATACCTTTAATTAGAGCACCTTTATGCATACATGCATGCATAGCTTATGGAACTCCTCTCTCTCTCTCTATCTCTTCTCTCTAGTCCTCATCTTCCACCAGGTGTGGTGAATATGCTAATTTTCACTATTGTCCTCTTGTTAAACTCGTCTCTAGTGGTGATGTTATCCTTGACCAACACTGGGTTCCTGTGGATGTTGGAGTTGAAGCCTGATATTATCCTTGAGAAGAAAAGCAGAGAGGGACACTGGTGCAAAAAGCATATTTTACAACAGTTGAAAACTAAATTTCGTGACATAAGAAGTGATGTAGTGGAAAAAGGTGTAGTTGTAAGTTGACACCTTTCGCGACAGTCTCATAAGGACTATAGAGAAAAGTATTAACTTACCATGATAGTTATATTAATAAATGTCATTGTACTGGTAACATTTCGCCAATTATTACAACATTTGTCGTAATAAATAGCTTGGAAATCAACTTTGTGGGTATTTTATGTGATAGTTATAACCAGAACTGTCATAAAAAGTACTACTTTTTGAGACAATTTAAGTAACAACTATCGCGAAAAGGTATATTTTACCATAGTTCAATATACAACTGTCGCGGTATGTGTAATTTTCTTTTAAAAGAGTACGTATTTGGTATTCTTTCAATCCCTTACTTGCAAAAGCCTGCATTTATACATACTAAAGACGATTCCAAACATATCCATTGAAATTTCTACATATCCAATGCAAACATCTATCTAATTATCTAATCTAATTTATCAATTCTAAAAAGTAAGTATAGACCATATATTCCGTATATGTTTTAGCTCTTGTTTGAAAAATGGCTCTAAACTATTAAAATGCTGCATATAACTAAAAATATATGGATGCATATTAATTCAAGTATAGGGTAAAGTGTAAAATATAAATTATTTTTAATAAGTTATTACCTTCTCAAATGAGTGAGTAATGCCTTGAGTAATGATTTCATACAGGAAAATCATCACGTAATAACCACATTTTATACTTCTTGGTTGTCGAGCACACTATTAAAAAAATTAAAACCAATTTAATTCATCAAATCAATATTATAGTCTTTATTCTAATTTGGAAAAGAATTTTAAAATGCTTACTTGTATAGGCATCCACTTGATTTCATTTTTTTTCTTGTCAACTATATCCCCCAACCTTCAATAATGATGTAAAGATCTATTTTTCAAATATATACGCTTAGAATATGTTAAAAAGATGCTAATAATATCACAAAATAATTATTCAAGATACTTACGATTCAAGCAATGACTTCATTTCATCACTTACTTCCCATTGTAATGAATAAAACCAATATATAGTAGTTTCATGGGGAGAAATGATAGGAAGCATCCAATGATTTCCATAAAATATTAGTTTATATTAGTATCACATAATTATGCAAATATTTTATAAATAGAAAGATGAATAGGATGTTTGATGCCTTCCAATAATTGGTGCAAAAAAATACCTCTTCTTTAGCTTATTCATCGCACTTTCAATATAATATGCTTTTTGATTTGGTTTCCCAACTGATGTTAAGAGTGGAGATAAAAATCCATAATAATGATGGATATCAAATTGGATGCACAATTTGTGCAAGAACCTTTGATAATAACAAAAATATTAACAATAAATAAAAATAATGAATATTAAATTAAAATAAAAATAAATACTTACATGATAAAAACTTATGTTATTGATACATCCAATGACTTCATAATAATGAGAGCATTAATATCATTTCTGGCAACTTGAAAAGTAATATCCTTCTCAACAATTTCCTCACTTACTTGTATTTCATCAGTAAATTCATTCATGTCAACAATCATGGAAGCTAACTGTTTCAAATCATCTCGAATTGGTTGGGGATTGGAACCCAGTGATTCTTTTGATTGTTGAAGTTCCTAATTAATATATAATCAAAATTAAAAACATCTATCATATTAATTAAGAAATATTCAAAATTATAAAGTTTTCATACCTCTTCAGCAACTTATTGAACATGCCTTCTCAACCAAATAATAAAAGTCCATTGAGCTTGTCCTACTATTTGGACCTTCTTAGTAGGAAATAGCACAAGAGTGTAACACTTGTCCTGAGTGTTATCCAAAAATCACATAAGTCAAATAAATTAAGTGTGGTTAAGAAGTTAATCCTAAAATCAATTTAGGAAACAAACCATTTAAATCACTAAGCAAATACATGATTGCAAAGTAAACATTTAAAACCTTAAAAAAATTATAGGTTTTATCTATAGCACACGAAAGCAAGTTAGATGAATGGAATAAAAAGATGTTGTTATGACAGCATTAGACAGCCCTCCCGGGCCAACTTTTAAGAGGCGCCGTTCTACTATCCGCCTCCGATCAAAGTGATTTTAAAAGTCACATGTCACATTCAAAGGGTACTATAAGTATACCAAATTTTGAAAAGATCCAACGGACAGATTAAATTTTGTGCATGTTGCAACATTATCAATTATTGTTGTCATGACAGCACTTTTGCTATCATGACAGCTCCTCCGGACCAAATTTTAGAGTGCGTTGTTTCTCTGTCTGATAATCGATGTGATTCCAAAGCCCACATGAAGTTTATAAAAGGTTTTACTTGTGACCTAAATTTTAGAGAAATCCAATAGTCGAATTAAGATTTGGACACCCGGATG